GTGTAGGGTGCCCACATGATGACGCAGGCATCGTAGGAAGCGGTGACAAGGAGCGCCGAGTCCGGCGAGAAGTCGCACGACACCACGCTGCTCTGGTGCCCCTCCAGCCTCCGGATGAGCGCGTACGACCGCATGCTCCACAGCAGCGCCTGCGGGGCACGGCGCGACGGCTGAGCTAAGCTCCGCGCAGACAGCAGCACCGGGGCCCTGCTCCTGCCAGCTCTGGTCCGAGCTGCCAGCTCAGTCACGCGGACCTGGGACAGCCCGACAGAGAAGACTAAGCCACGGTGGCTGCTCGAAGCAGCTCCGTGAAAAAGAAAAGACCTGGGTACCTCTCCAAGCGTCTCCTCCATGCTGCTGCTGAGCGGGAAACGGCTCCTCCCAGCACCCCTGTGCCCAGCCCAATCTCCTCCCCCAGGACGTGGGCAGAGCCCACCGGAGGCACGGTGGGGTGGATGGTGGGGCACTGGCCAGCCCCAGGAGCTAAGGAGCGAGAGTGGCTCTTGCCTTCTCCTCCAACCGCTGCCCCCTGCAAGAGCCCACCTGCTCTCGCCCCCCTCACCCCACAGAAAAGAGGCCTCCGGGCCCGAGCGCCATTTGTGTCCCTGGGGTGCAAGCTGGGGTCTGGCTGGGACGGAGGGTAGCCGTGGGGACGGGAGGGCCAGGCGAGCAAGCGTGGGACACGGGAGGACCGAAGGGAGCGCTGCATTCGGTGGGACGTGGGACCGGCTCCCATCCTCCGGGACTCACCGACTTCTCGCCGGCAGCGGAGCAGAGCATGCTGCAGTCCGGGGAGATGGAGCAGCAATAGACCCACTGCACGTGGCCCACCAGCACCTGTACCTGCCGCCCTGGGGACAGCAGACACGCGAGTCACCAGAGGGGAGCGCGAGAGACAGAGCTGGGCCCGGCCCCTGCCTGCCCTCCCCACCCCTTTGGCAAGGGGAAAGGTGTGTTGGGCTGGGTATTTCCCTGGGTGAGGATCCCAAACCCTCTCGCTTCTTTGCGGCCCCCTCCTGCATCTCGGGTCCCGTTTGGCAGAGGGTGGTTCTGCTCTGGGTTGCGGGACTCGCCCCGAAGATCCTCCCGCGCCGTCTCCACCCCTCTCAGCAGAGCCCAGCCTCAAACGCTGGTGACCCGACACCGGGGGATACCAACTGGCTCCTACCATCTCTGCTCAGGTC